TCTGACAATAGCCCTATAATCTTCCCAAGTTCCTTCAGCTTCTGTTTGTGAATTCAGTGAATTAACTTCTATGTTGAATGGAGATATACATACTTGATCCTGCATAGCCAGCTATTGTGCCCACGATCATCATACTCATATTCTAACTCTTCTCCTAGAATAGAAAAGAAAGTAAGTTGATATAGTTACCAAAACACAAACAAGCAGGAATAATCTTTACAGCAGAGAGGAATGTCATGGTTAAACAAAAGAGATAAAACGCCTGAGGACTGAATTTGCCTTTTTTTCAGCCATGGGATCTTCAGTTGATATTATGCTCATTTAGTTGTTTTTCACAACCAAAAATCTGGAAGTGGCCTGTTCAGAAATATATAGTTCAAAGAAAAAACAATCTTGCCTCTATATGTATTATTATAAATTACATTGAAGCAGCGACAGTTCGCAATTCACAGATATTGTTTCACTTTAGCAAATAAGTGAGTCATGCCAGTAACCATCAAAGGTTTTAATTAATTAATTAATTAATGCATTTTGTCTTTTTATACTTTTCAATTCTATCTCTCAATTGTAGCAATCTCCAAAGAGAATAGTCTGGAATTTGATGGGTTTGGATTTTTCGGCATAGCTTCAGAACATGAGTGTGGTTTGAGTATCAATCCAGAGCAATACAAGGTGCTTTCTGCAACTCCCCATGTACAAGTGTCAGATCTACAATGATGAACTAAGTTTTAATAAAACACCCTCCAAACTTGACCAAAAAACCCCTTACCCACAATGTAAAAGAAAAGTTTAGCTCCTACACCTTAAGTCCCATGAACACAATTGTCACACATTGCTAAATAGAAAAAAATTAATTAAATTTAAAAAAGCAGCACCTTCTCTGTCAAAAAAGCCCTGTAAGGCCTTCCTAGGATCTTTCATATAGAAGGCATCTTGTACATCCTGAAAATCAATAGCAATAGGGTTTTCTTCCACCTCATCCTCCTCAGCATCCTCCCCTAGAATATACACAAAATGCAAAAAATACAGTGAAACGTTAGAAAGGAAACACCAGTATATTTCAACTTCTGTCAGTTTGAAAGTAATATCAGCTACATCACCCTAAAATTATTGCTGTTAACTTGAAAATTATTTCTGCATCCAATAAAAAACCCCAACCCACCCCGCTTCTTTTTTGCTATTCATTATTCCATTATGAGATACAGTTTTGCAGATGAACATCACTGCATCACAGGAACAAAACACATAGCATTAACCGAAACTTCCAGTTTCATGGCCTTTTATAGGTGCAGGCAAGTTACCTTCTCCCTGATTTTAAGATTAGCTTTAGCATACTTCTTGCCAGATATAAACGTGCCTTGTCACAGCGCTCTTCATTTTAAAATGGATTAATTTGTACTCAACAGCTTCCACTGGACTGGAACACTTGGCATCCAGCTGGAATGTCAACCCTAGAATTCCTTGAAAACTGGCTAAAGACCTTCCAAAGTCTATCAGCCAATTTATGCATCATCACTTACCCATTCCCCAGGAGCAGCTCGTATCACTGTTCTGACTCCTCTCACTTTTCTCCTCTTTTTCATCTTCCTCATCAGAGTCCTCTCCCAACATTGTCCTTTCTAATTTTGCTTGCTGCTGCTTACGCAATGCCTTCAGTTGTGTCACAGTTAGTTCTGACTCTGACTCCTGGTCCTCTTCGGGTCCCTACATGACAAAGAGTAACTTTACAGAAGTGTTTTTTAAAAGAAAAAAACACAGAAGTATTTTCAACTCACAGAGTTGGGCAGGGAATAATCAACAAATCACAGAATCATTTGGTTGGAAAGGACCTTTAAGATCACCGAGTACAACGATAACCCGTCCACTACTACTACCTGTCCACATTTCTAAACACTTCATCTACTTATCTTTTAAAAACATCCAGGGATGGTGACTCTACCACTTCCCTAGGCAGCCCATTCCAGTGCCTGATAACCCTTTCAGTGAAGAAATTTTTCCAAATACCTAATCTAGACCTCCTCTGGCACAACTTGAGGCCATTTCCTCTAGTCCTATCCCTTGCTTTTATTATATTTATAATTATTATTTAGTTCCTTATAGTGCTTTTCAAAAAGTAGAATTATTAGACTATTTGCTACAGTTTGCATCTCCAAATATATTGGTTTTAATATCCTCTCTAAAGGGAGTGGGGGGAAGAAATGAGCATTACTGTGTACTTGCAGGGAGATCAATCTCAAATATAACCATATTTTACAGGCAGAACACAAACACTTTTTTTTTTTTACCAGTGCCACATAGGAGAATTTGAGGAACAGGCAACTAAACCCTCTGAAGCACATGCAGGGCACTCCAAGGCCTTTTTAAGTTCCTACTGATAAAAGCTCCCCTTGATCATAAGGAAATATTAGTGCTGTACCTTCCTGATGCATCCTGTTGTCAGAAAAACTTTCCTGATACATCCCACCGATGGGGAGAAATGCCTTTTGCTGCACGCTGGCAGAGGTTGAGCCCTTGGCAGAGCTGACCTGTGCCTAGTGCACCAGGGCGAGGGACACCCCACAGCCCCACTGCATCCTTCACCCCCAAATCTCACCACAGAGCAGGTAGCAGATACCTACATCTGACTGCTTTTCCCCAGTGAAACAACTACAGAGATGTTAGGCTGCCTTCAAAGCACTCAAACCGCCTCACAACCCAAAAGCTCCCTTGCCACTCCTCGGCCCCGGACGCCAAAGAGATGTAGAGTGAACCTGGTAAATTCCCGAGCTTGATCCGGGGGAAGCCTTTCCCACACGGCTCACCCGGGGCAGGCTCCAAGCCCAGGCCCCGACCCACCTGCAGGAGGAAAAGGCGGG